GGCTGCAGCACATGGTGAGGCGCGGGAAATTCGTGCTGAAGTACATCCCAACCACCGAGCAGCCGGCGGACTTCCTGACGAAGGCGTTGCATTTTCCGGCTTTCAACCGGTGCTCGGTCGCCATCGGCCAAGTTCGCCTGGCCGACGTCGGCGACGCCAACGACGAGGTGCAGCAGTAGGTGCCGTGCCCTTCTGCACGGCTGGTGCGGTGACGGCGTGCTGTATGTGGGGTGCACGCCGAGGACGAGTTTTCTCCGTGGAGTACTGCCGTGTGGGCTAGAGGCCCAAGCGTGAGCGCGGCAGGGGAGTGTTAACAGGAATGGAGTGTTGGCCCCGCCCTCGCTTGGGCAACGCCGACGACTTGGTCGGATGTACGGGAGTAGCAGCCGACCGTTCACAGTGGGATAGCTGCTCGACAGGCTTCGTCGAGCTGCAGGGGACCGCTGTGGTGTTGCTGTCGACCAGGGAGCTCGTCAGCTGCAACTGACTGGTCTGGGCGACAGGTGGGACGTCGACCAGGACCTGCAGCTCGACCGGGAGGTCTCCGGAGCATCCCGTCGACCTGCCTTTCGACCGGGAGGTCTCCGGAGCATTCCGTCGACCTGCAGTTCGACCGGGAGGTCGACGGAGCAGTCCGTCGACCTGACAAGTGAGCAGTGGTCGACGAGGGGAGCTCGGCGACAACCGCTGATGGTTCTGGTCGATGGAAGGGGTCCGTCGACCAGGGGGTAGCTCGACGGGAGTTGTGGTCGACCAGAAGCAGTGATGGTCGACCGGAAGCACCTGGTGGTCGACCGGGTCGACCGGGTAACCTGCTCGACGAGTTCTGTGGAGGCACGCGAACGTCGTCGAGGTTGCGATGGCGCAGGCGACTGCGGGCTGGTATCCCGGAGTCGATGTGGCTCGTCAGGCGCAGACAATAGCCGACGTATGCCCAACGAGGCAAGTCGGGCCAATCGTCTGCGCGCACCTGCGAGCGTGCACACTGCTGTGTTCTACGGGGCAACGCTGGACAGCCGCTCTGCTGCAGCGTTGGCACGCCGTCGACCTGCTCTGTTGGCAGGTCGCCTTTCTGCAGTGCTGGCACGGCTCCTCTACGCAACGCTGGCAGGCGGTCGACCGAGCTGTGCTGGCGGTCGACCAGGCTAGCAGCAGGGTTGCTAGGTGCCTGATGTAGTCATTGTTGTCATTGCTTGTTCGATTATTCTGTAATTCGAACTTTGCTAGTGGAAACTCTTGCCGATTTCTCCTGTGAATGTGCAAGCACTAAGGAACCAAGCAAAGCTACGATCACCTCTAGTAGTTCGTGCCAACCCCCGTAGTCTAGCTCACTACCGTTGTAGAGTGACTCTCCACAGAGTTCGCTGGGGAGAAAATGCAAGGCAAGGAAGGAAGTGCGGGTCACTCACCTCTCGTGTGTTGGTACTGCAACGAGCCAGGCCACCCCTTCTTCAAGTTTACTAAGGCACCCCCTGGCTGGACACCACCAGGGTGGGAACCGCATACCCGCGGAAAGGCAAAACTGCACACCAGCGACAGCCGTTCGTCCTCCCCACGAAGGAGTCGCAGCCCCAAGCGTGACAATAATGCGTCAAAACAGCAAGGGGCAGCCGGGGAAGACAAGCAACGTACTGTTACGTGCATTGCAACGGTGGAATCGTCACCAGCTAAAGCGTCATCTTGGATGCTGGATAGTGGATGCAGTCAGCACATGACCTTGGACAAGCGCTGGTTTGAAGAGTTAAGGGAGCTGGACGAACTTGTTTATGTGGAGCTCGCTGATGGGAGCGAGCTGAGCAGCACGATGACGGGAACGATCAGAGAAACGGCACCTGATGGGACAACAGTTCGGTACACTGACGTCCTCTACATACCTGGCTTGAAGAATAACCTGCTCTCCTATTGTCAGCTGTTGAAAAAGGGAGCGCGCATCAATACCATTACTAATGGAGACACCGAAATCACCATGACTGATGGAGAGGAGTACGTGCGGATTGGACTTGCCAAGAACTTGGATGGAGTGCTCGTGGTGCAGTATGCGCATGCACTTACATCCGCCCATGATCCTGGACATTCCCGCGATGACGCGTCATCGAATCAGGTTGATCGTGAAGGGGTTACCCTTTTCCGCACACCTGGTGTGCACATGGACGCACCTGGGAGCACGGATCCCCGCACACCTGGAGAGCACTTGAGCGCGCGTTCTGCACACGCATCTGTTCAGTACCGCATGGCACACAAAGCATGCATCGTGCGCAAGCCGGCACATGATGATACCACTGATGAAGTCTCACCCCACAGTGTGGTGTGGACTTCAAGGGGAGAAGGAAAAAGGTCCACGGTGAATTCGGGAGGCGATGGAGCGGACCTTGTGGAACAGGACTCACCTGCAGCTGATGAAGTTGATGCAACCCAAGGAAGCGAAGATGCTGCAGCAGATGACTTACCTGCAGCAGGAATGATTGTACCCAAGGAGGTTGAAGACAATGATGCTGGAAAC